TGTGACATGAGTGACAATCTGTGATAATTGCATTATAGTAATTTAAACTACCACGTCTTAATCTCGTAATTTAGATGCATCTAAGGAAGATGGTTTGAGTTACAAATTTATTTTTTTTTTTCCTAATATTGGAAGTAATGTATGTAGATGGAAACTAAATTATAAAAGTTTGTTTCATGTTCATTTTATGGCCAGGTAATGCGCTCTGTTGGATTGGTATTACTTGAACTGTACTCAGAACTTGCAAAATTCCCAGTTAGCGTATGATTAGCACTGTTACTTGTTTAGGTTTTAATTTGGTTGAGCAATGAAAAAATAAGAGAACAAATATTAAAGAAAAGACTGCATTTGTGATGACAGCTAGCTAATATTTTTATCAGTTTTATTTTCTGCTCCAAAATTTTGACTGGAAGACAGATCTAGGGACTTGGGATAACACCACAACTTCGTGGCTTTTGAAATGCTTGGGAACCAGGGAGAATGATATGCTTTCATTTCAGAGATTACAGATCCCAAACAGCTGTCTTATTCTAAACTGACGCTAAGAGGAGAATGTAGAAAACAAAGAACTGGTTAAAAACGGAAAACATTATTTTGTGCTTAAATGGACACAGAATATTAGGAAATTTTTAAGGGAATTACTACAAGAAGGGTGGGTAATTTGACCTCTTTGGCTTCTGCTAGATTGCCTGCCCTCTGGTAGGATTTGGCGTAGAACATCAAAAGTACGTGAGAGGTCTCCAAGGAGAGTTCAGAGTCCAACCTGTTCCTCAGTACAGACACCGGCTACCTTTTAATGGACATAATTATTTTGTCAGCCAGGAAATTCTGCATAACAATAATGTCATAGCAGAGCAGATCTGTTGGATTTGGGTTTCAAGGAATGGCTGAAAGTAATTATTTTCCTTAATTAGTTTCCCTACCCAGCCGGTTGGTTGGTTTCTAAGTTTTTAAACAAATATCATTCTGATCTGTTTGTGCCTCCTTACATTTGAGCAACTGGAACACTGATGTGGGGCTACAGTGAGTACTTTTTGTTTATCTTAGTAGCACAAAACAACTCCTGCAGTAGTTACTGCTGGGTGGCTACTGGTCCTCCTCAGGGCATTTGGAGTCTGCAGCAGAGCCATGAGGAGAGTCAGGGCTCCAGCCAGAAGTCTTCAGCTGCTCAGGGAGGACTGAAGATGTTGCTACCTTAGTGTTAAGATGAAGCAAGAAAGCAGCAATACTTTAAATACAAGGTATTCTCTCCTGTCTACCCTGGCTGTCTCTGTGAATTCTTCCTGATGCTTGACCCTCTTGTTTTGATCCATTCACCCTCCTACACTGATTTTTTTTTTTCCCCCGAGATTTATTCTTTGGTGTGGTGCATGTAACTATGAAAACTGGACTGTAGAGCACTGTGGAGTTTTATAAAATGCAAAAATGAACCAAAGGGGGGTTGGTTTTGTTTTCGTTTTAGAAAATTGTTTTAATTTTCAAACTAATACCATGAGCTCCTGGGTGTAAGTCGTTGTTATTTAATGCCTAAGAGGGAAACTAATGAACTGATTTGTGTACATAAAGGAAAGATTTCTGTCTTGGATTATATCCTGCCTGAGGTACGTAGCTTGACATACGGGCAATGAGCCATTTATTTCACATAAGTAGTGCATATATTTTATGCTAATTAGCCACACAGATATTAATTCTATCAGAGACAAATTAACCAATATCCTCAAATAATTTAAGCTCAGCGTCCCTCATATTCTTATGTTAGATTTCATGTCAAAAGATTGACTGTTCTGCTTTTTCGTGAAGAAAAATACCATAAAAAAAGAATCCTACATAATATAATCACAGGTGCTTAAGTCAAAAGACCTCTGTGCAGTATGACAAACACAGGAAAAGCCTTGCTGATAAAGATATAACTGTCTTGTTTCCTTTAGAGGTAGAACATTTATATCATGACACGAAATTCAGAGAGTCCAGTAGCGACTTGTTTCTTTTCTTTGTCTGTCAACTACAAATCCAGTTGATTTTAATTGTAATTTTTTCTTTAATGAAAATGTCAATAGATATTGTGATAAATATTCCAGCATCTCACATTTTTGTACCAAAACCATTTTAATCTATTTTTGAGATTAGATTGTAATATAACCTTTCTTCCACAGGAGGAGTCAGAGAGTTCCAGATACCCTGCCTTCTGATCTGCCAACCATATCTCAGAAAGCGGGGGAACTAAAGTTATTGTATTACCCTCTACGCAAGCCCAGAAATGTGGAAAATGCTCCCCCTAGTTCTCCACATTTAGTCTGGCTTCAACTGGTGAATGAAATGAGCTGTATCAGTAAGGGATCATCTAATTGCTTATTGAAAATAATATGACGACACACCTTGAAGTAGTTTTGGCTATTTAAATGCTTGACTTTTCTGAGGATAAAATGCTGTTGTGATGGCCTGAGCCTCAGTCCGGGCTGCATGTGTCTTCCCGGCATCAGCACTGGATGGGGATAACTAATTATTCTCTTCAAGCTTCCCTGCTCTTTGTACCAGGCTAACTAGGTTAATATGAGGTTGAGTTTGTCTACAGCGTGACTGTTGTGTGCTTTGCCTAAGGTCAGTGTGGTCCCAGTCTGGTCTGCTCTAACTCCTCACAAGCGGTGCATCATACTGCTCTCTCCTTGCGATTTGTTTTATAGGCAGCTGAGTTTCCTGCATTGCTGCTATTTATACTGAAAATGTAAACACAAGTTAATAGATTTCAGAAATCATTTCTTTCCCATTTTCCTTTCAGATTAAATGAAATGGTTAAGCATAAGTAATGTGATAAAGTCATCAGATTCCACATTCTGTTTTCTTTAGAGAATTCAGCATACTATTAGTTTTAAGAGATCTAATTCAATAGGTCTCTTCAATAACTTCTAAACAGAAATAGGATCACATCTCCCTGACTAAGAAAAGATCTGACTAATCTTTGTATCTTTTTTTAACCCAAAGTATAGCTTTTAAGTTGCAAGGATTGTGTATTAAGTTGCAAG